ACACACACACACACACACACACACACATACACCCACACACACACACTAAAATGACAACACTTAAGTATATATAGAAAGCAGAAAGTTGCATTGTCTGAGACTAATACAAAAAGGGTGGCATGTATAAAAGAAAGAAAGTGGCCATGCTTGAACACTACAGTGATGTGCATAGTACAGGGGTGCTCAACCTCCAGCCTGAGGGCCAAATGTGGCCCACAGAGCCATCTCATTTGGCCCACAGGGTCAGGGAATTTGGCAGCGGGGGAGTGGTGGCAATTACTACAGCCACCCTCCTCCCTGTCATACTCCCAGACCCCAAGGCTCACATGCAAGTTAGAGCCAAGGCATGCCCCCTCCCAGAAAACACTCCCTTCTCCCCAGGGGCTGGGCAATGCCCTTTTTCCCCTTATGGAGCCAGGCCCCTTTTCCCTGAGGGGTTGGACCATGCCCCCCTCCCTCCCTGCAGGGCCAGGTCAGGTCCCTTTCCCTCCTACCCCCTTGCCTGCCTGTGGGGGCCACGTGAACTCCCTTACCCCCTTGTAGAACCAGGCTCAAGTAGAGCTGCCCCCCCCGCCTTCCCCACTCCCCACCAACATAGCCAAATGGCAGCTGCTGTGCTAGCCCTGGGTGCTGGATCAGAACCACCATCGGGCCTGCAGTCAGCCCAGGCACGACCTTGCCCGCTGGGAAAAAAGGTTCAGCACTACTGGCATAGCACATCAACTTGAATAAAACATAGATAGAGTATTCTCAAAGCTTTAGTACAACTGGCAGAAGAATAAACCAGGAGGAAGACAGAAAGATGATAGAGGATGCTAAGGAACCAGCTAACTAACAGAGCAGAAAACTAACTGGCTTGGCCTCTAGATGCTGCTACACTAAAAAAGACAAGGAGCAAGGCACAAACCGGGAACAGAAAGGGAAAGCATCTGTATCTCAGATTTGCCTCCATAACAAAGTTTTTAACCTACATTAAAAAATATCAGGTGTAGTCTCCCACCTAGGCACATTTTATATCAGCTACCACTGATTTGCTTTGCTTTGGTTTCTTGATTGCCTACTTTTTTCTTTTAGATATTTTTGTCTTAGTTCTTTACCTACTTCAGCTGCTTCCTAAAGATCATGACCTCTGCTTAGAGGCTAATGAATTCCTGACATGAATGAATATTGGATATTCAGATTCAAGATACAGGCCAGAAAACTGTCAAAACATATTAGTTGCACTATGGAAGGAGCCTGGGGAAAATGTGGTATGATAGGAAAACACTCCCTATTTTTAATGAAAAATCAGAAACTAATGTATTTTTTCCTTAAGCATATATTAACAACCTTTACAGCAGGTGGACACTGATTGCTGTTGGTCCCCAGGCTTTACCTGTGGCAGGTTAGGGTGTTATACCTTGTGTTTTGTCAGGGTTGATTGTACTTTTGCCAAGAGGTTAGACAATGGATTTATTTAGGATGGTCCTGCCTCAGGCAGGAGGACCTAATGTGGTCCCTTCCAGCCCTACTTCTCTAATTCTGTGAGCTTTGAAAACTTTTAAAGCATATTCAATTTAGTATTTAGATTTTTCACAAAAAATATTTTAAAATATATCTTACTAAACTTACTTTAAAGTATTGTATTTCTGTGAAGAGCCCAAACACTAAAAAAGTTAGCTTAAAAGCTCAATGACTATTGCTACATGAAAATATCTACCAACAAGCTGCTATCTTGTTGTCAAACAGAAGACAACGGTCAATCTAAATGTTTGTCCAAGGAAAGGCATTTTACCTCCTACCTTAAATCCCAGGCTATGAAAAACTACCTGAGAATGCCAGATAAACAAAATGGAGCCTTACCCATATATACATGTACGAACTATCCTCATTGAGACTTTGCTTTAAATTTACTGAATGTGGGTATTTACTAATCAAGTTATCTTCTCTATGTGGAAAGTGTTCCTTACACCTATCTCCTCTTGACAAACTAAGAATCATGCAATTTAAAACTATAGTTTATATCAGAGAGTACATTTTAGCTTTTCTGGCCCAAGCAACATAATCCTAAATGTCTCTCAAAGGTATTCTCTCTACTTGAATCCCACCACTATTTTTTTTGGACATTTTATGCTGTAAACAATCAATGACATGCAGACACTGGTCTGAACTGACCCTGCTATATTCTTGTCACTTTCTGTCTTATACCTAGATTTTAACATCTCTTTACCAAAGACTGCCTCTGCTGTCGCCTAGCGCACTAGATTACCTGGGTCCATGGTTACCACTCTCGCATGCTACAGTAGTAATAACAATTCAACCAATATATGGACAGTTGGTCCATATGTATTTGTTTCATTTGTGTCTAATTAATTCTCTGAAAATAGAAGTCCAGGTATTGAACATGTTGGAGAATTTCCTCATGAATCTTTTAACAGCAGTCTTTCCACTACCTGAATGTGAATATTTGGAGTCTAATTTTTAACATAAAAATATAGATGATTCTACCTCCACGCCTCTTCCTCTTTTAATTAATTTCCAAGAAAGAACTATACAAATTGGTAATAAGAGATTTTTTTAAGCCGGCAATTGTCCAAAATTAGAGCAATTACAAAACAACACTCACTGGTCTATATTTGGATTATAGAAAGACAGCATTCAATACCATTCAGAAAGAAAAATGTGGGTATCACTCAGTACTCATTATGAAAAAAAACACAGAATCCTGAACTCATGACATTAAGACAAGGTAGAATGAAATTTAAAATATTTTCATTTAAAATCTGTGTGTATATTCAAAGATCAAAAAATTTATTTTTTAAATGTGAATTGATAAAAACTTTTACTGAACTTACTTTTTTAAGGCTAGTTATTTGCTGTGTCTCTATTCTAAGATGAGAGAGTGTTTTTTTTTCCTTTTGAAAATCATCTTCCAATGCTTGTCGCCATTCCTTTTCTATCTTCAAATCTGTTTCCAGTTGAATCCTAGAATTGCAAACAAAAGCCAATCATTTGTGCACTGCATATTTATTTAACAAATAATTTATTTTTTATTTTATGTTTCACTATCAGTCCAGCAGACAATGGCAATTTGCTACTTTTACTTGTTTACAAGTTCATTATTTGTAGGTTTTTCTGATGTGATATTTGGGAATAATATTTCTAAAACATCATACACAAATGTAGTAACAGTGTAAGAAAATAAGAAGTTTGTAATAAGATTTCTAGAATTTAATATAATTGGAAGAACTCTCTGTTCCAATTAATATATTGCCCTTCTTATTAAGAAACACACAAATAAACTTCCCATTTAACTTAAGTATCACATGGGGGGGTTATAATATATCCTTTATGCAACAGAATATGAGGGATGAAACGAATCTGTACTGCTCATCATATTATTTTTATTATTAAAAAATATGGCAATGAAGACTGGATATTATAGGAAAGTGGGGCAGTACTAAGAACAAACATTACAGGCAGTCCTTGATTTGCAACATTTTGAGTTGCAAGCGTGACACGTTGTAACATTTATAAATTGACACCCTGTTTCAAATTTCTAACCTTAGTTTCAACTTTATAACACAACACCACACCAGTGAACAAGTTCGCTGCATCTCCTATCTCCCTGGAGAACATCTGTCCAAACTTCCTTGGACACTTTCTTTAAGAAAGCAAACAAAACTCCAGAAAAACCTGCGGGCAGGAATCCTGAGAAGACTCCAGCCAAGAATCCTTCAAAAAGTCCAACTAAGAGCCCTTCAAAAAGTCCAGCAAAGTCACCTCAGAGGAGTCCTTCCAAATCAATATGATTGCTATTTACAATATAAATACATTAATGTAGCTATGTTACTCATCTATAATTGATTGAGTACAAAATTCTGGTTTATTTTTGCTGAAAATAGGGTATTGAACCTTGGTTCAGGAACCAATCCCCCATTTATAACATTGTTTCCTATGGGAAAATCAGTTCTGAGTTGCAATGTTTTCAGGATGCAGTTTTCAGGAACCAATTATGTCGTAAGTCCAAGGACTGCCTGTATACTTCTAGCACACCGGTTGACAACCTTTAAGAATGGCAAGCTGCTGCTCAAAACCCAGCTGCTGCCACAGGCCACCAATCCCCTCCACAGCACCCCAGCACTGCCTCCCTGCTTTGGGCTGAGGGATCTCTCTCATGTCCCCCTGATATAGACTCTGCTTACCCTCACCACCAAGTGCCGCCAATTTCTGTCACCAAAGGTGATGAGGAGCAATGAATTTTGCAGCGAGGGTAAGCAGCAACTGCAGTAGTGCCCCTGCCACCATGTGCCACTGATCCCCCTATGCCACATGCTGCCAAAGGCCACATTCAATCTCTTTTGCAGGCCAGGTTCAGCTGGTAGGTCTTAGGTTGCTGACCCAGTTTCTAGAGTATCTTGAATACGATATAGGCTACATCTAGACAGTCAGCTGTACTCCAGCATGATTTTTCAGGTAGATTAATTCCTAAATGAGAAGCAGTATAGTTGATAGGCTAATGGCATGCAGGCACTGTCACTCAGTAGTGACATTTACCCAGCCTGAAACCCCTTCTGGACATGGCTATAAATGTTTTCAATTTAGGAAGCAGACCACCTGGAATAGTGCAGCATGACATTCTTGAGTATATTAACTTTACAGTACAGACCTGGCTTCAAAAGATTCTAAATTATTTGATTTTACTGAAATTTCACCAAAACTGATGCGAGATACAAAGACGGATCTGGTTTATACTAATCACAGCTTCTGGATTCCTCTTAAAGGAAATAAGAGACAATCTAATGCATACACTGTTGCTGTAATTCTGCCATCATCTATACAGTACAAAGAATCAATCTTTAAAAAGCACAGAAAATGCTAACTGAAGATAAGAACAAATTTCTGATTCTTCTGGGTCTAAATCCCATTTTACATACAATGAAGGAAGAAAGATTCCAACTAATTTTGTAAAAATTTGCAATCTGACATGCATCTATATTGATTTTGTCACAGAAGAGCCAACAACCATTTTTAAAGGAAAGACATTTTAACCCATTAACCATAGCATCTTGTTTACTGGAAAAGATCAGAAATGAACCTATCCTTTTGGATTCTGAATTGCAGATCTGTGACCCTGAGGCCTGAACTACTCTTTTTCAAAAAAACCTGTTAGGCCAACTATGCAAGTAAAGTGAACATTTGTCATGATGGCTGAACTAGTATTAATATTCAGATTCATGGAAGAGTTCTGTGGTCATCGTCTCCTTCTCATGTCCTGTCACCATGTTCCAATGTAGTCAGAAATGGTCACATACTATTGCTCAATCTGTAGCCTTAGCAAGGTCCTCATTGGTGCATGGTTCTCCCATGCATGGGCAGGCCAGTAGGTCTTCTATGGTCTAAGCGTTTACCCAACATTCATACGTGGTGTTTGAATCAGAGTATCCGCACAGTTGCATATGAACTTTAGTTTTACCATGCCCTGTTTGGAGGCAGTTCAAGCTTCTCCATGTTGGCCAATCAAGCTCTGTGCCTGCAGGGATATGTTCGGAAGTTTTGATATTCATCCTAACTTCCTCCTGGGTCATCTCTAGTTGTGACTGCCACATTTTTTTTCATGTGGTTGTCATTGTTTCACCCAGGGGCTGCATTGTAGAAAAGAAACCTGTCTGTGATTTTAGTCTATTGGGAGTCAAAATGTGGCCATGCAGTGGGGGGCCTCTTAACTTCAATCTGCTGAGTGCATTCTATTTAGCTTGCTATTGCTCTCTCCATGTCTGATGAGGTGATTCCAGCAAATAAGTGGAGACTATTAACATCAGTTGGTTTAGGACATCCAGTAATACACCTGCTCTGTAGTTTCAACTCCTGAGTTTCAACCCTTGATATTCCGCTGATCAATAGGTGAAATAGATGCAGGTGTATTTAAAAGTTGCACTTTAAACATTGTATCAGTAATAACTGCTGTTATTTCTGACTGCTTTGCAAATAGTGATAACTGTACTGACTCTCAGTTAAATCCTGTCAGAGATTGTTTGGCGTAGGAGACCAGAATTGCATTCTTTTAAAGTTTTAACACTTTTGTTTGTAGTAGACTCACGAATTTCATGGATACCTGTCTAACTATTAGTCCTGAAAGATTTTGGCCTCATTTATAAGCGTTAATGGTTAACTGTTCTATGTATTCTCTGTTTCAGTATATGCTGTTATGACCTGCATATGATTTATAGTAAAATAAGTTGGATATTTTTTATTAATTGAGATTTCTGTTTTTAACAACCATTTCCCTAGCAAACTAACATGGCATCCTCAGCCAAAAGACAATATTGTTGTTTCCCATTTTCTGGCCAGACAACTACTTGAAAAAGTTTATCTGTAGGCTGACTTTCTTAGAATAAGAGATTTTCTTCCACTCTGCCCCTGTCTAGCATCTCCTGTTTCTTTACAGTATCTATACCCAATATATCACAAATTTTAGATTAATATAATGTTTTAAACCGAACTTAAAAGATAAAAAATTGACTTGTACTTTTTCCAGAGGGAAGATATACTTACAGTTGCTTTTCCTTTTGAGAGATTTCTTTCTGAAGGCTTTCAGATTTATTCTTACATTCTTGTTTAAATTTCTCATCCTCATTCTCAGCTTCCATTTGAGCCTTCTCTGCTTGCTGCAATCTGGTGTAATTCAAATCAACTTTGGGTAAAACTGAGGCTAGAACTAGGGTGTAAAGGGTGAAGAAGACAAATAAAAGAAAAATGGGGAAATAGAAACATTTCTAAATAAAAACAAAATTTGGGGGAAACTCACAAACTCAAACAAGAGAGCCATACAATGCCTAGAACTCTAGCCTTTGTTTTTCTTTTATAGTTAGTAAATCACCATGTTAAGTATTCTAATTTGTTTTTATTAAGTCTGTGATTAACATGTAAAAGCAAAGCAATACAGATTTTGTAATTGATGCATATAGCTTAATGCTCTAAACTTGAATACATGTGTTATTATGGGACGCTTTTTTTTCCTTTTTTTTTTTTTACAAAAATTGTAAGAGTACAACAACTATTTGTCCATACTAATCAATCAGTAAGACATAACAGAACGTGTTTTGTGCTGGAAATGCTCAACACAATTCAAATATGAAGCCAAATACAGAGCACTGCAATCAGACAGCAAAAACACAGCTGTAGGAAGACTGCAAAACACACTCTGGAGTGTCTTATTACATTTATAGAATTACCCCAAATACATAACATTATTAAAGAAATTTAAATAATCTGTATTAAAAATAATGTATTCTTACACTGGTTAAAATAGCTCCATATGATATGACTAAATAAATAAAATAGAATAAACAAAAGAATTGCAGCTTTCATTTAATCTCTCTCTAATTCTAAAGGGAGTGCTTTCCTGTTTCATCTAGCTCTTTCCGCTTCCTAAAATGCCACCAATGCACCAAGGCTCCTCTCTGCTTGGCAACCTTTTCAGCTTGAAAAACAGGGTTCATTTTAACTGAAATGTATGTAAAGACATTAAATCAAATTGTTTGTTATCATAGAGACATCTCTCCTGTTGGGATATACAAGAAAGACTTGAGTACAGCAGTTAACACATCATCTCAAAGCCTTATCTCAGCACATCATTTTAAAAATGTTTTTTTTTTGTCCATTCTCAGAGTGAAGTTTGCAGAAGACTGAGAGAGACTCTTGTTTAAAGGCTTGACTCTTCAGTTCCCAGCAAGTCAGCAGAAGACAGAGTAATATACTACTGCCAGTTAGTCAGTGTTAAAAAACCAAAAACTGGTCTACTCTACACTACAATCACAACCACATCAGGAAGCCTGGCTACCAACATACTTCCAATTTATACCACAAGATCTATGCTGGCAGTTTCAAGGAAACTGTCTACCATTACACTGTTACTAGACAACAAATCAGAGTGCTGATGTAGCATTTTCACTAGTCATCTGAGAAGAGCTGAATGACATGCTTCTAAGAATTCCAGTGCTCTGTGTACATTTGTGGTACTAGTAGTGAAACTGCACCACTGGAATTACATGTCAATGCAACAATGACAATTGAATGACTGGACATTAACCTAACTTTTTTGAAGCATTCAGCTTTAGCCTAGGTATGAAAAACTGTTCAAGTCCACCCTTTATTACAGACTGCTGCAACAATGTTTCTTGTCAAATCTGTACCTGTAATGGCAAAAGGGCCAAAGCAGATGAATGAAGGAAGAAAAATTACTGGGATTTCAGCAGTTTTCTGTTTTCATAGGACAGAGACTACATGAAATAGGAAAGCTACATAAATTAAAACCCTCTGTAAACTGAACTTGAAAATGCATCTGCATAATTTCCAGACCCAATGTGGACAGGGTTTCTTTTTTTAAACTCATGCTAACCAAACCATGTTAGAGACTACATATTCTGAATCTTCACTAATGCCTAGCAAGCTTCAGAGCTACAACTCATAGCAACTGTAGTTCCACCAGGAGTATTAACTCAGAACAAGTCACTGGGGGCATCAACACATACACTTTACATTAATGTACTACAGAGTTGATTAATTAGCTCTGCAGTAGACAAGTGTGACACTATTAGGACAGAGTCAACTAATTAACTCCACCATAGGATAGTACTGCCCAACACAAGTACTATCCTATGGTGGAATTAGCACCCTTGTGCCCCAGCCAGCCCCTCTGTAGCATACTCAGCCAGGGCGGAGCAGCTCTGGGCTGGCACGCTGACTCCTTTGGCCACCTGCCAGCTGGAACTGCACCACCCTGGCTCAACATACTGTGGTCCCAGGCGAATGTGTAAATGCTGTGCCTGGGAGCAATAAACTCCAGCACAAACTGTGCTGGAGCTTATTCAGCCATGTTAATTGCATGTGTTCATGGACCCACTACTGGACACTTAGCCAGGTGTCAGCACTCAGGTCTGAGCATTCTGATTAGTCTACCTCAGTGACATTCAGTCGTCACTGGCTCAGGAGCCACCTGAGGAGCTGCATTAACAAAAGAGTTATAACACTATAATGCACCACTATATGAATTGTGGGAAACACACCCCAGTTCAAAAGAATGCATGGATATCTAGCAGATATAGTGGCACTGGTATATAGCTTTAGGGATGTACTTTACACAATGCAATACAAGCAACTAGAAAAAATGGTAACATTTTCTGTGAAAAGCCACTGGTCTTAAGTTGAGAAGACACCTGTAGCTCAAGACTCATGGTCTGAATATCACTGCCCTAGCCCAAGTATTAGTATCTACTGTTTTCAGGGTGATGCTTGGGCTGTGCTAGGCTGAGTTAACAGCAGGATTCACTCTCTCAGGGTGCTTAGATACATATTTGTTTACAGGGATTGGAGATCAGGAGCATCATTAATAAAATCCCAAGCTGAGGAATGTAGTTGCACACAGCTTCACAGCAAAGCCCTACCTGTGTTGTGCTTTGTTTCAGTATTTGCCTAAGTATGTCTGAAGGCATATCCCACCTACCAAACTCAAGATGGCTGCTAGCCAATTTTGTGGGAAAAACACAGGCCCAATAGCCATTTTCATGGGCAGAGTATGGTAGGCCCCCCACATCGCTGTTGGCCAAGGGGTTCCTATGACCCAGCCCCTCACCACTGACTGGCTGCAAGGGCTGTGAACTGGAATGGGGCCATAAAACAGACAGCCCTCACAGCCAATCAGCAACAAGAAGCAGGGTGGCAGCTATCTTGGGCTGCCTGTCATGGGAGCAGCCTCCCTCCCCGGCAGGCTGTGCAGCTGAGCAGCAGCACCGTGAGGACTGCTGGCTCCCTCTGGGGAGCCAGCATTTTATTTTCAGTAAGTTTTCTTCTTTTTCTCCCCTGTGGATTTCGCACATTTTGTGGATTTCACAGGCATTGCCCCTTTTCTGAAATCCGTGAAAGTCACAAAAATTGCAATTTTGGTAGGTCCCTACCCACGAGTCCATGTTGAAAAAATCTTATTATTCTTTCCCAGTCAATTGTGGCAGTCCATCTCTATGGAAATTGTGAGAAGGGCAGTGGAGGACACTCAGCACTTGAATGATTCTGCCTGCACTGTCACTGCAGAGTGGGCAGGTTCTAGTCAAAATTAATGCAAAGCTGTGGCTTGAACACATTCCCTCAGCAGTTCAAAAAGGCACAAGTTTGAACTACAAATAAGCATGTGGAAACACATGTGAGCAAGCACAGGCTAGGGCTTTAGTGTAGACATACTCCTCTTCATAGTACAGAGTGCATGGCACATTTTTATACCACATCTTAACAGTGTTCAGAAAAAATATCCCTGTCCACATGGGTCAAGAAAAAACACTAGCAACTACTATTTAAAAAACGATAGTAGGGCTTCTGGTATAAACAAATTCTAAACATGTAACAAAAATAGGTTTTGTTGTTGTTTGTTTTTTTAATAATTGAAGGCGGGTTTCTTATTTGTTTTCATTACAAGGACTAAAGATAAATCAGTAGAACTAGAAATAAATTTCAAGACAGTGCAAAATAAAAACATAAACATAGCTAATGTTTTAGAAGAAACTTTGTATTTGACATTATACAGTAGTAAAAATGATTAAATAGTATTAGAAAATTCTAGTTTCTTATTGGTCAGTAATCATAGGATGATTTTTAGGGGGCTGGGTAGAAGATAATGTTCTTTCAGAAACCAAAGTAAATCTAAGCTGTGACCAAGTAACGCAGGATTTCCTAATACTATTTTATAATATTAAATATCAGAATGTTATATGCTTTAATCCAACTCATATAAATTATACTCTATAATTACTATTTAAACATATAGGTGTGACAGCATTCAGAATGATATATCCTTGACAAGTTTGTATTGGTGCTGTGCTTCACTGCCAGCACATTTTACAAATGACATTGCAATAGTCCTAGTTTGAGTTAACAGATCTTTGTCACTTCATGGATGTAATGGGCAAAATCAAAGACAGATGTGAGTAATAAAATATTCAAGATGTAAAAATTGGGATAAAGGATAAAAAGAAAAAGAAAAAAAGAGGGAAAAAAAGATGTCAATAAAAGAATATTCATGTCACTAATTTTTAATACATAGCTATGTTTTTCGTAAGTAGTTTTAAAAGAAAATGATAAGACATGTCAACATCAACATGACAGGGCTATGGATATGTTACATTTGACAATTAAAAATACTAGCTTGCATATATACTGTAGACTGCCATTTAAATAACCTATGCACACAAGTCACATTTTGTATAATGTATAAATATATCATGTAAATTTATGCACTGGAAAGTTATATCATTTTTCAAATTCTTGTCATAAAGTGTGTGTGTGTGTGTGTGTGTGTG